CTTTTTATTTTGACTGTTAGATCCAATTACAAATAGAAAGAAAAGAACACAAACAAATAGAAAAACAAGATCCAACTACAAGACAAAAAGACTAAAAAGTTTTGTAATATGTCTACCTTCTAGTCTAGTCTAAAATATAAAAAGGCCAATATAGGGTGGCAGGCTGGCATCTAGATTGTGAGCAACCCAGTTGCCTTCTCAACGGATCCGAGGAGAGTTGAATCTGCTTCCTTTTAGTTGTGGGGTAATTGACTAACCCAGTCCAAAGTGCATCAAAATTTAGTATGGCACGGTTTTGGGCTTTGAGCCCAATTCCTATGGTTTGGGCTTGTGTTGAATTAAAACCTATCCCAGCTCACCAGACATTTCACAAGGCCAGACACAGGGCCTATTTGGTTCACAATCGGAATTGGATGGAATTGAAATCATAATGGTTTATTCCCATAATTTGTTTGGTATATACATGAACAGGCCCATGGTTCAAATTTGATAAAACCATGACACATTCTTTTAATAGTCTTGGCATCTCCATGTTGAAGAGCCAATGCAATCATATGCATCTCTCTTTAAAGTGGCCATGGGTTTTGTGTATATATCATAAAAGTTAAATTCAAATATCGTTTATACTTGTTTTACATGTGGTTTTAGACTAACTGCACAAAAAAGCGATTTAAAACAACAAGATCCTTCATGGTTTTCAAAAGGACAACCTTACCTATTCAATTTATTTATAATTATTGATTTTTTCAACAAATTTGCCGTTGAAGCAAAATATGAATTAAACAACACATTATTATTTATTGGTATAATGGTTTATTTTCTTTATAAGTATGTGCAATTTTACCCTAAGGCTCAGTTTGGAAGGAGTACAAATGCAAATATATAGAGTGCAAAACATTATGTTTTGTATTATTTTGTATGTATTTGCATTTATACTCTGGCTCAGTTTGGAAGGAGTACAAATGCAAATATGTAAAGTACAAATATATACATAATAATACAAAATATAAGGTTTTGCACTCTACAGATTTGTATTTATACTCCTTTCAAATTAAGCCTAATCCTATGTTTGGTTTGAAAAAAAAAGGTAGGGAAAGGTAGCGAAACTTGTACAAGATTTGTAAAAGTTTCCCTACCTTTCCCTACTTTTTCCTTCAAACCAAACACAGCCTAAAGGAAAATAGAACAATTAATATCTTATATATATATATATATATATATATTAAAAGGATATAGGTGCTCTCTTCACTCAGGAAATGGAATTGACTCGTGCGAGCACCCATTTCCAGTAATTAATTACTAATTAATTACTAACTAATAATAATTATTAATTAATTATAGTAATTAATAGTATAATAACACGCACCCATTTCTAGTAATTAATTACTAATTAATAACAATAATTACTAATTAATTACTGATTATTATAGTAATTTAATAAATATATAATTAGTGATTATAATTAATAATTACTGTTATTATAAATATTGTTAATAAATAGGTATTTACTTAAATTTTACTTTAATTATTAATTATTGTAATAATAATTACTGATTATTACAGTAATTTAATAAACATATAATTAGTGATTATAATTAATAATTACTGTTATTATAAATATTATTAATAAATAGATATTTACTTAAATCTTACTTTAAATTAAACTTATAAATATTATTAATAAATATAGTAATTATTGTTATATTCAAAACAATTAAACATTTTATTAAAAGTATTGTTATTGATTATTTAATAAAATATTATAATTACTGACTATTACTAATAAATATTGTTAATTTAATTTAATTTTAGTAATTATTAATTTAATGAATATTGTTAATAAATCCTATTCATAAATTTAATAATTACGGTTATATTAAAAATAACTAAATAATATTATTAAAACTATCATTAATGATTATTTAATTAAATARTATAATTACTTACTATTATTGATAAATGTTGTTAATAACGTTCTGACAACCGATGGTTCGACCGTTCGGTTCGAACGGACTGCCCGTTCTGGCAACAAAAATTATAAGTAAAAAATTACGGAACCATTATGGCCACCGGTTTTCAGGTCGATGGTTCAATCATCCGGTTCGAACGAACAATCCGTTCTGACAACAAAAATTATAGGCAAAAAATTGAGTTTCTGAGGTCCATTAAATAGTATCATACGTGTTTTTGGATTGACAATTCGGTCATTTGGTTCGAACAGACGGCCTGTTCTGACAACAAAAAATTATAAGCAAAAATTTATGAAACCGTTTTGGCCACCGATTTTTAGGTCAGTGGTTTGATCGTCCATTTCGAACAGATAGTCCGTTCTGACAACAAATATTACAGGCAAAAAATTGAGTGTGTGAGGTCCATTGAGCAGTATCATACATGTTATGTCATTAGAGTGTGTGACTCATACGACCAAAAAATGGAATCGTTCTGGGCACCAATTTTTTAGGTCGACGATTTAACCGTCCGGTTCGAACGGACAACCCATTCTAACAACAAAAATAAAAAAAATAAATACAAAACAACCAAAAACCATTGAACGAGTCAATGGGTTGACGGTTCGACCATTCAGGTCAATGGGTCGTTGACCGATTCAATGGTTTTTGGCCAAGGACTAGGATTGGGGTAAAACGAAACTGGTTGCTTAGACAATTTCCAATTAAAAAAATAATAAAAAAAACAGATGACCCATTCTGACAACAAAAATTACATGCAAAATATTGAGTGTGTAAGGTCCATTAAGCATTACCATACGTGTTACGTCATTGGAGCGTGTGACTTATACAACCTGAAAACATAATCGTTCTGGCCACCGATTTTCGGGTCAATGGTTTGACTGTTCAGTTTGAACGGATGGCCCATTCTGATAATAAAAATTAAAAAAATAAAAAAACAACCGAAAACCATTGAATGGGTCAACGATTCGATCGCCCGAATCAATGGGTCATTGACGGATTCAATGATTTTTGGCAAAGAACCAAGATTAGGATAAACGAAATCGATTGCCTGGATGGCCGATTAAAAAAATAAAAACAGCCAAAAACTATTGAACAGGTCAACGGATCAGTGATTTGACTACTTAGGTCAATAGATCATTTACCGATTCAATAATTTTTGGCTAAGAACCGGATCGATAGATCGACGGTTCCATTCCAGCCCCTGCGAAGCAAGGCCCGTCCGCTAGTTATTAAAATTAAAATAATACAAATATTAAATCATGTAAAATACAGGGTAAATTTGTCTATTTAAAACAAATATGTTAGAGAGTGGGTTGTTTTTTTTTTTGACGGTTGACATATCCAAGAACAAAAATATGAAATAACTAATCTTTATTTAGACCTTTGTGACACAAGCTCTTACGTATTCTCCCACCTTACTCATTTTTTATCTTTGTGGCCGAATCCTATCTGCAGGTCACATGGGTGGATTGTTTGACTATGGGGTGGTGATTGGACGAAGCAACTCATATGATGCTCTCTGTAAAAACTAAAGACCGTCAGATTGCGAATAAGTAGTTTATCCGAGTATATTATAAAAAAAAAAAGTTTCTCCGAGTCAAATTAGTGAGCACACCACATCATGGCTCACACACGAAAGAGGTTGTAACCGGTCGGATTTGTATCGGATCAACTTATATCCTAATCCGATATCTGATTACCGAAAACGTTTGATTCCGATCAAAAATCCGAGACTGATATATCGGGTTCGGACCAGACTTGGATTTAGCTCGTATCCGGTATTTATGTGTCTAACCGAAAATGAATTAAATTTATTTATTTCTAACTTATATTTATACAATAGATTCATATAAATAAAATATTCAATTTATTAATTGGATCCGATTGGATTTTACTAACAATAGATGTTTAGCACTCTCGGACCAATGATAACGCCCCACACCCGTATTTCAATACATGCGGCCTATAATCATTTAACATCTTACTATGGACTCAATGTATTCCATGGTTTTCAAAAATCGGATTGAATTGGACGATGGGACTAAAAAACGGGAATTGGTTAGGTGGTTGGTTTCATTTTACCTTAGAATCGTTATTTTATCAAAAATTGTTGATTTGGTCAGTAAACTGTTGATCCGAACGATCGAATTGTTCGAATCATTTGAACTACTCAACAGTTTTGACCATTTTTTTATTTATTTTTGTCAGAACAAACCATCCATTCGATTCGAACGATCAAACATTTGACTCGAGAACTGGACCCATGACCGGTTTATCTTGTTTAGTTTTAAAAAGCTTGATGTATTCTATATTATTTTGGCTTTCCAATTGGTTTGGTTTCTCATATTATATTTTGTTGGATTAATATGGGATYTTCTCCTGTACCAAATTGATCGTGAACATCCCAAATCGGTTCTGATTATATTTTTGACAATGAATCAAATATGATTATTAATAAGATTTAAGTTTTAACACATAGGCTAGTGTTTGGAACCGATGCCATTTTCTTGAAAAACAATACCACATGTCTGAATCTATTTTCTTTCAAGATCATGCTTGATTGTTGTTTAGTTTTATGCAATTTCGTAAAACGTTATCTCAAACCACACTTTTCGGGAAAAATGTGATTTGAGAAAATGTCTTTTTTAATATTTTCTCACGTTTTTATTATTACTAACAATAATATGCTGAGATGTGGTATTGAAAAAAGCTGATGTAATAGCAAGAAATAATAATCTCAAAAGAAAAAAAAGAGAAAAAATGTTTTTTTGAGAAAACAACATAATACAATACTGTTTCTCAAAAAACACCCATCAAGAAACTGCATTGATTCTAAACATGGCATAAATCGAGGATGTGAAATCGGGTATTAGAGTTCGAACCTTTGAATCCGTTGAAAGGTGTTTTGTCATTTTGGTCCAGCAGACCAGCACTAACAAAAAATGGGATGTGCCCAAATCAATTTTCATGTTTTATCTTTTATATTCTTTCCCCGTAGATATCATTTTTATTCTTCCTATCCATGTTTGGTTTGGTATTTTCTACGGATAACACACCAAACCGCCAGCGGCAAGTCTTCACTGTTTTTAACTTGACGTTAGGTGAAGGCTCTTGAATACTCTCGCTATCTGGCTGGTGCAAAGTGCAAACGGAAGGACGAGAGGAGAGAAAAGGCTAAGTCTGTGTCCTCATGTGAGCATAAAGCTTAAAAGCTCCTTTTCTTTTTACAGGAATGGAATATTTCATGATCGTAGCACTCACCAGATTCTTTCTGTTCTTTTGATCTTTTAGTTTCCATTTTAATATTTTGTGAATCGAATATTGCTGGTGCCACTAAAACATACGGAAGTCTGAATTTTGTTTGCTTGATGGGAAGAACTGATTTATTGCTATATTATTAGCTTGTTGTTCTTATCCGTTTTCGTTTGATCGTTGTATTGGTGTTTCAGCCACAACGATGCGAAGGTACGCGTCGAGAATTTTCGGGTGGGGTTCGAGTTTCGGAAGATTGGATTTTCATTGGGTAAACTCTCTGTGTTCTGATGAAACCATCTGGTTTGTTTTCTACTCGTGATTTATATATTATAAAATTTGAAGTTGTCAATTTTTTTTTTTAGTGAAAAGGTTAAATACTAGTTACAGGTGGTTATGGTATTTCTGGTATATCAACTAATTCGTCAGATTAAATTTTCATATTCATTCCACATGGTTAATTTCTATTAGAATTTCAGTGATGCCGAAACTCAAGTTTTTTGTTCGCCAAGTAAATTGAATTTTAGTTCCGTTCACATTTAATGACTCAAAGTGGACCGTGGACATAATTATGAACTGCTTGATTCATGGTATATTTGCAATGTCAAATGGTGATGAATGCATGATTAACTTGTCATATTAGTCCTTTTCTTATTATTTTGGTTTAGCTCGAATGCTTTCCTGCTTAAAGGGAATTTTTCCCAAAAATGGTTTTCTTTTGTTAATTTAACTAAAATGAGCTTGTTCCATCATGTACATGGATAAAAAGATGGTGACTTTTGATAGCTGCATTTTGGGTTCTTCCCTTTCGGATGTATTATCATTACTTCTCAAAAAAAAAAAAAAAAAAGAAAAACAGAACGAATGAAATAAAATCATTTCATGGCCCATCTGTAGCTCAATATCCACTTTGTTATATGATTTTACATCTGGGTCTTAATTTCAGTGGGTTATGTCAGAAGATTGTCTGACCTGACACCCAGCTACTCACCTTGGTAATGAGGTATCAAAGCCTAGTTAGAACTGAGCTGCATTGTTCAGTCAAGTTTGCTTTTTAATTTTTACCCAAGCATTTTATGTATTCCATTGATGCTTTGAATATCGAAAGATAAAAAAACCGAGAACCAACTTTCTGATTGTTAGAGTCCCCTTGATCACTCATTAGGGGTGTAAACGGGTCGAATTTGAATCGAATAAGGCAATATCTGAATTCGAATCCGATTAGAAAATCTGGTAYCCGAATTCAATTCGATATCTGATGGATATCGAAAATTAATATTCGAATTCAAATCCGATTAAATATTTGAATATTTGATTAATTAATTATTTTAGGTAATTGATAAATATATAAAATAAATAATTTATTTATATAAAGTATGTAAGTATATAGATTATTTATATAATTTAATTATTATATAAATTATATAAAACATTTAATTATTTTATATATTATATAAGAAATAAATAATCAGTCGAATTCGGATATTTATCGAATCAAATAAGGTCATATCCAAATTCGAATCCGATTAACTATTCGATATGAATAGGATATCCGAATTCGACCGATTAGATATTTGAATTATCTGAATTCGATTCGATTATGTCGAATATCAAATTCGAAATCAGATTTTTGAATACCGTTGACACCCCTAACACTCATACGACTTCATGAATTCTGCAAAAATTTTTCTCCATACTATATCACAAGTACTGTTTTTTCTTTCTTGTCATTGTCTAACAACATTTAATTGCATCATCAGGTCAATTTGCATTGGATGAAACATAATTGCAAGAATTCATCTTTTTTGTCCAAAAGCAGTAATACTCAAGCTATAATTAAGGATTATTCCAACAGTTTCCAGTCAAAGACATATGCGTCTTCTTGTGCTAAGATGTTAGAGGATCCATCAAAAGATAATCCAGTTTCTGATATGCTAGTTGATTCATTTGGAAGGATGCATACTTACTTGAGGATTTCCTTGACGGAGCGCTGTAACCTCCGGTGCCAATATTGTATGCCAGCAGATGGTGTGGAGCTCACGCCAAATCCTCAGATTCTTTCAGCAGATGAGATCATTCGCTTGGCAAATCTATTTGTAAGCTCAGGCGTCAATAAGATTCGGTTGACTGGTGGGGAACCAACAATTAGGAAAGACATTGAAGAGATATGCTTACAATTATCTAATTTGGAAGGGTTGAAAACACTGACTATGACAACGAATGGAATTACTCTTGCGAGAAAGCTTTCAAAATTGAAAGAATGTGGTCTGAATTCGGTAAATATCAGCTTGGACACCTTAGTCCGGGCCAAGTTTGAGTTCATGACAAGGCGTAAAGGACATGAAAGGGTTATGGAGTCGATCAATACTGCTATAGACCTTGGATGCAATCCAGTTAAAGTATGCTCCTCTTTCTGAATTAGTTTCTCATTGGATCACTGTTCAATGAGTGATGCATTTTAATATTTCAAAACTTTGGACATTCTTCAATTTGTTATGAGACAAATGTCTCTTTTGTTATTTGTTTGGGATGTGGGTCAAAGTTTTCTTAAGAATTCATACTGGACTAATGGACTTGTCCTTACTTTATTGTTGTATGCTAGGTGAATTGCGTTGTGATACGTGGCTTCAATGATGATGAAATTTGTAATTTCGTAGAGTTAACACGTGAGAAGCCAATCAATGTTCGATTCATTGAATTCATGCCTTTTGATGGGAACGTCTGGAATGTCAAAAAACTTGTACCCTATTCGGAAATGGTGGATAGAGTGGTAAGGTAGAACCCTGACAGATGGTACATTGTTTTGGTGTCCGAGATATTACTGCAAAGATATATTATACTATGGTTGAAAGTTTTTATGGTACTTGATCAGGCACAACAGTTTAAGGGGATACAGAGGCTTCAGGATCATCCCACAGATACAGCCAAGAATTTTAGGCTAGATGGGCATCAAGGTACTGTTTCTTTCATCACATCAATGACAGAGAATTTTTGTGCTGGTTGCAATAGATTGCGGCTTTTAGCTGATGGGAACTTTAAAGTATGCCTCTTCGGTCCTTCTGAGGTAGAAAAACTACTTAACCTTGCAACTTTACATTGTGGTTCCCTTTTCATGAGTGTCACTGTATCACTTATCATTCTTGGGCTGACGTCACCTTATTTGTTATACATGTTATTGAAGAATAAAAAGTAATCATTTTTATAGTTTTTTCAAGAGCTTTCTGTTTAATTGTAAAACCATCCTCAGCTGCTTTATATTTAATTGTTAAACTATCCCTACCTTCCCCCACTGAAGCATGAGTAAACCATTGTTAGTGTAATATTCCTGAGTTATGGGCTAGGGTTTGACATTCAAGTTTTTGATTGTCTTGATGATGTAGATGTAAACCTGTCAACCAACTTGAGGCTATAGAAGCAAAAATGCTTGAAGAGCCTCATTTTTTTGGTATGACAACATATTCTTTCTAAAGCTGCCAGTAGAACTGTGATACACAGCATGATTTTATGTTAAAAAGTGAGCTATATAGCAATTAAAAGAAAAAAGAGTTATCAGTTTTATCTTCTTCACTGGATATGTGAGCAAATAATGGTTTTTGATAGATAAATGAATTTCTTTTGCAAGGTCATAATGCATATTACTAGAAAAAATTTCATGTGCTTAATCCTTACACAGGCATTGAAAGAAAGATCTTTCAGTGATAGAATTAAATGTTTTTAGAAGGTAAAATATGAAGCAAGGTTTTTAAGAGACTTAGATAGAAACATATCAACATTTTACTACATTATAAATTCAATTATTCTAGAATCAAGGATGGCAGAAACTGAATACAGATGAAGTTTTTCTTAGTGGCATTAGTTTGGGATCTATTTCATCAGATGTGCATTAGTGTTGCAGGGACATGGACATGAGAATCCAAATATGATGCAGTCTGAGAGTCTGACTCGGAAATATGAAAAAACAAGGGCCCATAGAAATATTCATAAACAATTATAAACTATTAAAATACTCCATATTTTGTTGAATTTTAATATTATAAACCTATAGAAAACCTATTTAAAAGATTTGTAACTCAATTTGTAGGAAAAATGACATTCAGTGTGTACATTAACTGTTCTTTTAGCAACGGGAAAGAAAAATGTCACATAGAGGTGTCCCTCAAGAAACCATGGAGTTCTAGAGTCTGACATGTGCCCGGCATGGACACTTCATCCATTTAGGAGAGTTCATGTATCACTGATGGGCACCCCTTGGAGTTGTCCAAATTCCTTGAATACCTAGACTGGAGACTCAGATCAGTTAATGCATTGGATGTTAACATGTTGATCAGTTTTGAACTCATTATAATAAAGATATGCACGTTGGTCATACTTGTCAAATATCTTTTATTTCTTTGTGGTTTACTAAAGCTTCTAACTGAAACATGCATATGTATTGTTATAGGTTAGCTTGAGGGATCCCCTTCGTAATGGTATTAATGATGAAGGGCTGAAGGAGATAATTGGGGCTGCGGTATGTGTGATATTTATCTTCTCATTTCTTAATTTTTCAAAACTGTCTTTTTTTTTTTTTTTTTAATTTCAAGCATCTAATGTTGTAAGATATTAGTATGTTATTTATGGCTAAACTTAAATTTCTATTTGGACAAGAAAAATGATGATTGCATATAGATTGTATTTCAACAATGATGATGCATACAGAAATAGTGTTTTGATAAAAACCAAATCTTTGGTTATTACCATATTCATAGGCTTTGCTATCAGTTTTGCTACATTAGTTTGCATGACTTAGTAATGCACTATAATCACATGATCAGGACAACTATTTTTTGTGTGTTCTTACCCATTTTTTTGTTTTTCCTATATGATCTATCAGATAATGTAAGAATATTTAGTACCTGTCTGTTTTAGGTCAAGAGGAAGAAAGCTGCTCACGCTGGAATGTTTGATATTGCGAAAACTGCAAATAGACCCATGATTCATATTGGTGGCTAGGGCTTGGTATGCCGCTTATTTGGTTTCCTTTTGGTTACTTCAATCAAGATATTCAGATCAAATATTTAAGCTCATTCTTATTTTTGCTGCATAGAGAAGATGCTTTTGCCATTTTTGTTCATTGAGCTTTGAAGCCAATTTTTTGGAATTCTATTACTATATGGTTTTGATTTCTGACTTATGTCTCATGTTGGCCTGAAATTGGTGAACATGTTTCTTTCTGCCAATCTTTTTCTTGTTGTGAGTTCGGCCCAATGGTAATGTGCATTATGGCAAAAAGAATCATTATTGAAGACTGGTATATTCAAACAACTCAAGAAAATTTAGGATATTCAAAGCTATCTTTTGGTTGTTTAGTTTTCCCACAGGGACACTCTAAATGTGACTATCCAGAGGATCCCCTATAAGATGGGCAGAGGACGGTTATAGATCTTTGCCCATTAGATGGACAATTATAGATATTCCTTTTCAATCATTCATGGTGTAGAAAACCCCCTTTAGCTGGTAGTTGTGAATCCTGATAGCATAACAACAACATACACTTCACCATATGATCTACTCAACTGAAAAAACCCTTACCCAACTGATAAAAAAACCCTTATCCAAGTTATATGGGGTATCCTAAATACATTTTGTTATGTACTTTTGGAAAATCACATTTTTCATGTTTTATGGTGTTAGAGATTAAATTGTGTTTTGCTTAATACCTTTTCCTTTGTCTATCTACTTAAAGATTTTAAATCCTTCTACAAGATTAGCCAATAAAGGTGAACTTGCTTAAGGTTCATGGTTAGGTCTATGTTACAACATGCACAAATATTAGTGAATAGTTTCTCTTGAAGAAATAAAAACAATTAGTGACTTACCATTATTGGAAATAGTCTGCAACTTAAGTGCTTATGCATGACTTAATGTTATATGGTTGTTTTGGATACTCATCTATTCTATCAACTTGTGAAGACTCTAGGTGGATGGTTTAGTTGAACCCAAGGAAAAAAGGAAGTACATTTTTAAGCTTCAGGCTGCAATGACTTCATTACTTATTTGCATAAAAACGGAGGAAGAGAGAATACCAATGAAAGAGAAAAAAATATTCCTAACAATTCCTAACTTCTTATGCCAAGGGATGATAGGGTCTCTCCACCTTAAGAAGAATTGCTTCTCAGAAAGAGTCCTCCCCCCCAATTCACCACAGAGAAAAAGAAAATCATTTCTCAATTTCTCACTTTGAGAAAGAATATTGCGGTTCAATATATAGAGTGGCAAAAGCAACTCTATATTTTCCTTTAGGAAGCCTCAAGAAGGATGCTTCAGAAGATAAACGAAAATAAAATATAGAGGATACTCACTACAGAATCTATTGGGCCCTATGTTGGAAGACCTTTAGAAACCTAAGAAAACCCAACCAGTCCTTGAAGAAACCTCAAAATAGAGGCTTTGCAATGTCAATTGACAATAAAAAATAGAAAACAAACAAACGTTCTACAAAATCTAGTGATCCCTCTTCTAGCTATTTCTTACTTTCTTTTCTCCAAAATGGGCTCATGGGCTCAAATTGGGAGGTCATAGGCAAAAGTCTTTGAAAATGACCTTAATATAGAGGGCTAGTCTTATAATTGTGGTTGGACTCCTACGTTAGTTCATCTTCAAAGAACATAACACCATTTGTTTGTGGTTTGGGATATAACTCTAATATGTTTTGCTTCTTTTTTGGTTGGCAACGCCTTACCATTTGTAAGCTTGATATGTTTGTTATTAAGCATCAATATTCATTGGAGATAGTACAGTATGATCTGTTTCTTTTCCTTAATGTCCAGTTTATTGTCTCAAGTTATCCTTTTGGGAAAAACGAATTGCTGCATTTAATCTCCTTCAGTAAGGCTGCAAGGATAGCGATGGTTATGAGATTTTATTAGCAGTCATGCTATGTCAGTGACCTCTAGTTCTTATTCTTCAAGAATTTCTGTTAGTCTCCTTTCGTTGACTAGGAGGCTTACCTAGACGTTTGACTTGAAAAATTCTAAGCACCATTCTACCTAATTTTGGAATTGAGTATTTATCTTGTCCCTATCCTTGGGGAGGGAAATCAGTGTCTTATTACATGTAAGATTGTGTTGTTCCATGAGTTTCAGGTTCTATTATTTTCTAACAGTTGGGATATTCTTATTCATGTTCTCTTCCATATGGAAAGCTACTTAATGCACCAAATTTACCATTTAGTGTCCACATGGATAGCAGCAATGTTGCTTTGCATGGGATTAGCTCAAGAACTCCATAGGCATAAGTCTGTAGATATATGCCTGATTAAAGATAGCTGATTTTGTGTCAATGAACTTGTGATGTTCTAATGGGTTTTAGGCTATCCTATTTCTATGAACCTGGTGGATTTATTAGCATTGGACATTGGTGTGCTATTCATGCATGATACTTGATCTCATGAGAGAGAATTGGTTTTTAAAGAATCAAATGAGTGTCTCCTTTTCACTTGCTTGTTTGGATTTCTACAGACATGCCATTGTACAGAAAAGGACACATTACAATCCTTATGTTGATGGCTTTCTTGGGATCAAGTCAGACTCTCTTAGCCACATTGGTGGTCTTGGTGTTCCTGAGTGGTTGTTGCCTACATGGAACAAAATCCCATTCTTGACAAGCCCTAGGCCCTATCTGATGTGTCACTTGAGGTTGGCATTGACAGTTGTTAATCTAACTTTTGCATAATAGAGCTTCTCAAAAGAAAGATGGTTCAACAATAAGATACCCTATTTCTCCCATTTGTTATAATGACAAAACTTATATTTGAGGAATGGCAATTTACTGCATTATAGAAGGATGAATGTTGTTGCTTGTTGATGTGACTTTGACATCATCACTATGGTTCCTATAGGTGACACAAGAGACAAAAAATGCTCATATGTTCTATGGAGGCCTATATTTTGATAACAGTTTTCTTGGAGAATTTGCCTATAAGGAATATCATTCTAGCTGTGGCATATTATCAACTGTTAGAGGATATCGACCAATGCTCTTGGTGTTCTAAGGGAGAATAAGATATGTAAGTAGAAAGACATGCTTGGAGAAAAAATAATGTTGTCATGAGGAGCAGTATGTTTCATGAGTGGCAGTTTGTCCTTTGGCATTTGTGTCTTTGTCAGGTTGCTGATGGACTTGTGGGTGTGGTTCTCCTTGTCATCTGAAAGATTAGGTGGGTCTTGATGTGATGTAGGGAGTGGGTCTTCTCCAAGATGCCATTGTCATTGATCATGTTGAATTTAGGGCTAGGCTCTTCACCTATTACCTTGTCAGAGTTCTTTTACTGTTTTGTGGAGCATATATTTTACATCCTTCAGTTCATGCCTATTAAAGTTTGTAAACAAAGTAGGAAAAGAGGAGGAAAAAGGAAGAAAAAGGTTAGGAAACATGTTATCATCCACCCTTGAATCCAAGAATACTGACCCTAACTAATTTAGCAATTACCACAAACTCACATTTTCTATCCCTTAAACCCCTTCTAAAGCCGAATTCACAGTTTAAACCTGGAGTGGAAAGGCTTTAGAAGCAAGTGATGGTTTTCTTTTGAAGACTAGAAAGTGAATAGGGCAAAGGGAATTGGGATTTTGAAGGGGTATCACCTAACCAGACATCTTCCCAAAAAAGGACTTTACTACCATTTCCCACATCAAATTGTGTGAAATTTAAGAAGATAGGCAGTACCTCATGAATGGATTTCCAAGGTGAAGAAACTTGTAAAGAGACTGGGCCGAATGGGTCCCAGTATCTTCTCTTGTAATATCTTTTCTTTTATTGTTGGCTAATGGGCCTGTTTATTTCTTTTTGTTTAATCTCTTTATGTTATTGCCTAGCTGGTCGCCCACTTAAGGGCATACTTGTCATTACTCTAACTTTAATTCTTAATAAAAAAAGGAAGGAGAAAGGGAAGATAATTCGATTCTTCTTCTTCTTCCTTCTCTTTTCGCCATCTTCTTCTCTTGTGTTGCTGCTCTTACTTCTCTTCTTCCTTTTCTTCTAATCTTCAAATTTACACCTAATATTTGAGGACTGATTTACATCTTGGTATCAGAGCAGGTCTATTTCTTCATTTTTTTCTTTCTTCTTCTTTTCCTATACACCCTTAGATTAAGAGAGTGTGTGGAGAGATAGATTCTATATAGTTCAGAGGATCTCTGGCCTAGTTGGTAGAGGGTTTGGAGAGTTTAAATCTGGCTGGATATTGCCAAGAAGCGGTGCTGTTCTGTTGCTGCCCAAAACCCTAGCCGATTAGAGATTTTCGAAGGTACAGGTAAAGGTGAAGCTTTGGGTGTGGCACTYTGTGCTTGGGAGGTGTCTTGTGACTCCTAAAGGAGGGCGGTTCAGGTTTGGAAGAGATTGGGAAGTTTTGGTAGGAGCGACTGCATCTTCTCTCTTCCTCCCCAATAGCTGGACGGAGTAAAACCCTAGTTTTCAAGCATCTGGGTTCTGGTTTGACTTCAAGTAAGTTTATACAAACAAAATTTCTGGTTCTTTGATTATTCGTTTGATTAATGGAGCCATACAGAAGTGAGTTCAAGCAAGTGCTGGTTTCAGGCTTTGGCTCGGTAGATTCTGTTTTGACTGGTGTAACCACAATCAAGCTAGATGGGACAAATTATCTTGCTTGGGCACAGTCTATAAGAATTTATGT